CACCTCTGTTTTGGATCTGTTGCAGCTGTAGTGTCGCTTGGCCTTGCTTACACTGTACGCAGAGAGAGAGAAGAGAGAGGACAGCCAGACATGTGGGAGTGAAATTACATGAAAGGTTATTTTGCTGTCAACAGCCCATCACCTGAAACGTACCCCCTGTCGGAGTCTCTGCACGGAACGGTTCGAACTTATGCACCACCCCACAGAGGCAAATTGTGAAAAATATGTTTTTAAAAAAACACACATAGCCGTTGTGGTCATCGATGTTAATTATCGCACAAACGCTTGGGGAAAAATACGAGTCGTGTGTTTGCAGAAACATTTCCGAGCGAGCATCCCTCGTTTCAGGGCCGGTGCTGGGCTGGCATCGCCGTATTTGCGTTGTCAAATGGCTCGTGAATCAACGTTCAAGCACACGGCTCCTCGCCCCGCTCACACGCGTCCTGAGAAAGGGGGCGCCCCAAAGCGTCGATCTGCCTCCACACAGCAACACGGCGCCGCTAACTCCCCCATCCCCCGTGCCTGCATATCAATGTTTTACTCACACCGTGGTTCGCTCTTGAGCTTCATTTTTGCTAAGTTATCAACAGCCGACCACGTCTCTGTGTGTGTGTTATGTCACCCACCACCTCGTGTACCGTGCCAGCCTGCAAAGGTGCTCTCTAACAGCCCTTGCCCCAAAAGTCTGTTAAACGCTACACAGGAGATCTTTTAGTTGTTGTTTGCTACCAGTACACACATCGTGAATCTCCAATCGAACGCACACAATTCTAACTCGTCCCCGAGTTCCCTTGCCGAGGGATATCGCGCGAGTCCCTGCGACGTTGCAGTGTGCGAGCTGCGTGCCGGATTGTGGGCCTCCCTGAGAGTCTGCGTGCCCATCCCCGGTGCGAAGAACAAAACACTTGAATGAATGCTACAGTCCACTCGCCAAACCTCCTCCTCCTCCTCACTTGGGCGGAAGCCCATCAAGCCGAATGCTTTACGCGGAAACTCCTTCGCCGACTGATTTCTGCCGACGCCGCGCGTTGTTTGAGCGCCGGCTCGCCTGCCACACTAGCGCAGAGCAAACGAGCAGCGGCGAAAATGTTTAACCGGGAGCGTGGTGGTGGTGGGGGGGGGGTGCAGCGTTGTGGTGGTGGTGGGGTGGTGGTGGTGGGGGGGGGGGGGGTGGTGGTGGGGGGGGGGGTGCAGCGGAAGAGTGGGGACAGCACGAGCGGTGCGCGTTGGGCTCGACACGCAAAGCAAGCCCCTGGAAAGCCGGTGCAACGACTGATAATACCAATAATAAGAATAATACCGTGACAAATGCAATGAATGTGTGAAGGGATTTAATCGATGTGGCCCAAGAAATTACATGAACACACACTTCACACCTCTCCAGCATAGATTAACACCCCGCTAAATGTGCCATTTCATACACGAATATTTTTGTTCACGAAATTTTTTTTCCTGATGACGTGGCATTTACAAGATGACCCCGTGACTTGAATTAGCTTCCCCCCCCCCCGCCGTGGAGCTGAGATGCGGTCGAGCAGTGGAGTTTGTGGTTCGAGCGCACGGCGTTTCCCGTCGTAGAAACGTCTCCGCCACTCGCCACTGATGGAGAGTGTCCCTTCACTCGGGGGTTCCTCATCTCACAAAGGACACCCAGGCTTGAGAGAACAAAATCCTTTCTCTGCATATTGCACTTTTTTTGCAGCATTTCAATGAGCAAACTTTAAAATATATATCATCGCTAAATGTAAACGTCTTGAAGCTGGGAATCGTGGTAAAATTATTAAATCGATTTTAACGGTAACAATTGCGTTAAACGCACGGCTCCAGCGTTCCTTGTCTAAACACTGCCAAGCGCATTTCCCCATTGGTTGGCGAATGCATAAAAATAATAAGAATAATAATTGCGTGCGATTACATAGGACAGTCAAAGCGTAATAGAGGTCCATCACTTCCCGAAGAATGCTTTGTTTCCTTGGACAAAACCCAATTACACCAAAGATGTGATGCAATTGCTTACACAGTTGGCAGGCATCTGTTAAAAGCATGCAGAGTGTGGAAAATTGCTTAAAATTCCATGCTAGGGCCTTCACATCACCTCTCTCAGTCTCGTAAGCCTTTTTGTTAAAACATTTTCACACCGACCGCAAAATGGTCCGTTTTCTTTAACGTCCATGACTTCACTGCAGCGAGGTTTTTTTTTTCCCGCTCCCCCCCCTCTCTCTATATTCTTCACTTTCTGATGCTCCAAAGAGAATTCCTTCTGGAGAGGTTAGCAGCAGGAACTGCTGACAGCCAGTCGCTCTTTGAGGCTCGCGAGGGTGGCACGGTGATAATCGGGTCCGGCGGAGCGCGAGAAAAATTACTCGACTTCTTAGCCGCTGTATTTCCATGCAATTAGAGACTTAATAGGAACATTGTCAATTTTCTTACATGCCACCGATGCGGTGGATTTAGCAGTCGAGAGCGGAGTAATGGAGGCTTTAGGTGGAACACTCGCGGCTCCCAGTTGCGCACCTCTAGCGATGAAATTCCCCATCGTGAGAGCCAGCAAAGTGTCGTGCAGTAAGAGCGCACACAAACATCAGCTTTCATCAGCGCCGTCAGCTAGAAAGCAAACGCTATATATTTTTTATTTACTTTTTTCTCCCACTTTTGACAAAATATCTGCCCCACCACACACCTCCCCCGTCGCTCTCTCCCACGTTTGCTCCCCCCCCCCCAACACGGCTCCACACCCACACCGAACTCTCCCCATTGCACCCACCTCCAGCCACAACTAATGCCTCCACTGGACAGCGTGCCAAAAAAAATCCACCTTGTCGAAAGGCAGACAGGCCAGATCCGAGAGGCGAAAGCTGCAATCAAATCTGCCCCTAACCCTACCCGGGCCCCCACCCCTCTCCAGACTGGCGCGCGCACACTTAACATTCCAGACACCTCGTCGTGCAGTCATTCCACTTCGTCTTGGCCCCCGGATGTTTGGAAGGCTGCCCAGGTGCCTCGTTGGGGGCGAGGTGAGGTCTGGGGGTTTGGGTTGGCGTTTAAAAGGTAGATGGGGCAGTTTTGGCTCGGGCGGTTTTTATCAACAAGTCGGGAGTGAAGGGGACGGCGACGAGCCGGGGCTCTGCGGGACGGGGATCGACGCGAACCGCGAGAGGCACTGGGAGTGGGGACTGCGAGCTCGGAGTGTGGGGTTACGGGAGCAGACTTCTGCCACACCGCAAGCCTGCATACGGGGACTCGTTTGTCCACGATGCGGACGCCCGCATTTGTCAAAGGTTGTGTGTTTCACGGCTCTCAAAATGCAGACGCTCACACTTAGCGAAGACGGTCTGCTTTGATGGTCACGAAGCAATTTGGTTTAAAAAAAACAATCGTCCCCACAACACAAGAGTTTGGCCCCAGGTAAAATAGGGAACGTAAAAACAAAAAAACGCTTTCATTCCTCAAAAAGGCAATAAGTGAAATCCAGTGTTTGAAAAGTCATTTTTAAAAAAAACCCACTTTATTTTATTTTATGCATGCGGCGTGTTCCTCGCGTTAAAACGGAGAATCCTTTTAGGCGGATCTTCGAGCACGTGACCCCGATGACCCCCGACAAACCATTTGCTTGCTGCGGTATTTTGCGGCAACCTGTGAGAAATCAATAAATGGGGAAACAGTAGTTGGAAGAAACTTCCAAAATTTTTATTTGAAATGTTTCAAACAATAACAAAAAAGGAGGCTTTAAAAAAGCTAAATGAGCTATCGTTTTTTTTTGTGTTTTTCGTGTTTTTTTTGAGGACGCATTCATAACAATGGCCACAACAGCGTGCATGTTGGGTGAACCAATTTTGCATCTTTAACATTGACGGAATAAATACTCAAGTGTCAGGGTAAGGAGACCTTAGGCCAACCTCTGACACCTTACAGATTTGTCTTTTAAAAAAATTGACAAAATTAAAAGAAAAAAAAACGGACATTTAAACCGCGCTTCCATTTTTAACAGAGCGCCTTGTAAGCGAAAAAAATATAACGACGTTAAAAAATAAATATAAAGTTTCATAGCAAATTACGAACATATCCAGGGTACCAAGAGAGCATTTCCATAATTACAGGGTTACTAAACAAACGAAAAAAAATTACCAAATAAAACAAAGAGGGAGATAGGCATGTAGCAAATTAACTCTGTCTCGCCATTTACAACGCTGAACTAAAAGGAGAAACAACGTATAAAACCACTGACTTAAGTGACATTTGATCACTTTGCATATGATGTTCAGTCAAAAGTACAAAAGCACCATGAGTGTTGGCAGTAAGGAAAGAAATGTAACTGAAGACGTAGCGGACACTTAGCTTACTGCATATACAACAATATCAAATATTGGAATGTAAAAAGCATGAGGGGACCAAACTGCGCTAAAAACACACCACCTATTGTTTGACAAAAGGCCTGCATTCAAATCATTTAGATGCCATATATAGAAATTATTGACAAAAACATTTGTACATCACCTACAAATTCCAAGTGACAAAATTATTTTTTCCCCATTTTTTTCGTATTATGCTTTTACAGTCGTTAAACGACACCCCCCCCCCCCCCCACCCGTGCCCCCCCCACCCCGTGCCCCCCCCCCCACCCCGTCTGTGCAATATTTTTTGTCTGCAGCCCCCCCCCCCCCGTAATTTTAGTTTTGCCCGACCTCAAGAACGCACAGCACCACCAATGATGCTGCGCGCCTTCCCCACACTGTATATTATCCTGCCAAATTAAAAAATATACCATGGCAGCCTGCGTACCACTAAAGTCCTACCAAAAAACATCAAAAAGCAATTATTATTATTATTTATTTTTAAAAATTACACGCCCAGTTATGGACAGCATAGTGCCAACAATGAACATCTACATCAAACAACATAGAAATAGTTACCGATAAGGACCACAGCTGTGGCGTTTCCATTGTAACTAGCATTTTTAAATATGTATAAATGCATAAACACCAAACGTACACTCTTGCTTCTCTCTCCATATATAGTTACCGGTAACAATGACACATTTTATGCAGCATTGAATTCTTAATTCTTCTGTCTCGTCACCTTACTCATATGCCTCTTCTCCGTATACTTGAATTATATTTTGCTTATTGTGATCCAAGATCAGCGACTATACTGACATGTAAAATACAGCATCTGCAACCTAGCGAGTACCAAAGTTACTGGAGAAAAAAAGGGGATGAAACGGATTCTCTCATGCAATACTATTTTTTGAAGATCCATTTTCACGTGTTCAGTCCTTAAAAGATTCATCCATAGCAAATAAGATAGTACGACAGGCTAGCTTAGAGCTAAAATTACACCAGCCGCAGTGGCCGATAAGTGCGTTTTTTTCAGTTAAGTGTTGATATCAGTAACAAACGGTCCTTTTTAAGTGACGCATTTCATTTTAGTTTACATGCTTTAATCCCTGAACAATCAGGGATGCGAAAAACAGTGCTAGGATCGACCCCTCTCTCACTCTCCGCTTGTGCTACAACTGTTTATTAATGTGATAGTCTTACAGCTTATAATTTAGGCAATCTCAAAATTAAATATCTAGCATCTCCGTGTGTGATTCCTACTGTACAAATGGCGCGTGCAGTGCTTTGCGTTTCGCGCGCACCGCTACCGAACGGGATTCCCTCGACGCAGGCAAGGCAGGATTAAAACTACAAAAGCAGTGATGAGCTCTTGCAAGCATTCATCCTGACGTATACAGTTAGCAGAGCGTGAGATTTTAATCTCGTCAGAAGAAAAAGGCCAAAAAAGCGCTTTTAAATGCGGCAGAATATTCCTGGAAAGTTCTGGCCGGTAAATGTCGTGAAGGCTCCGTTTGCTTCTGGGGAAAGACTGTTTAACAAGGCACTCGCACATGAATTCCCGATCCCATTATTACTTGAAATGCAACCTCGACGGAGCAACGCGACTCGCTTCGTTGGACGTCTTGTACCGCTCGTCTTTTTAAAAGGAGGCTCGCAAATGTTTACTTCTATTTTGAGAGTCGCCGTCTATTTCAACAGCTTGCCGATATATTTTGTCAAATCTGTGGTAATAAGCCACTGTGGATTTGAAAAGGCGCGGAGGATTTTTGCGGAAAACTAGGAACCTGTGTGACCTGCGATCGACTGGACGCGCCACGCGGCCCCTCCGCTCTCCCCGCCGCACGCGCGACCGTTATTGCACGAGAGAGAAAGACGGGGGACGTCGCCGGCGCGTAGCGTCGGGGACTTCTCTCACAGCCACAGAGTTGCCCAAGAGACGGTCGCGTCTCCTCCGTCCCTCCGTCTCACCCCCCCCCCCCCCCCACTGTCTCCCTCCCTTGCTGTTCTTGTTCAATTTGGTCCCATGGGGAGTGAATTGTTGACGATCTAAAAAAAAACAAGTTGTGCAAACTTTCTGGACAACAAATTCTTGAATGACTTGGGCAAGTTAAGTTGAAAGAACGCATTAACGTTATTTATATTTGTACATTTCCCGTGTGCATGGTGCTCACCGTTGCCATTATTGGAATTCTAAGCAGTGCTACAAAGCGAATAACCTCACTCAATTTAGTACTCAACCCACCCAGAAGTTGGCTCCACTGATTAAATATAGCTGCTTGCGTGTTGTCCTCAACGCAGGTGGGCACCATTGCAGCGACCACGCTGCCGTCGAGGTCGACCGTACGGAATGCGATACCCTCTCAGGCGATATTTAAAGTCGATATTTTCGTTGCCATTTTGCAAACATTAGCCTTGACTCAAAGATAATGGCATAATGAATGAGCTTGATTTGCAAGCAACGGGATTCAAAGTCGGGTCATTCCTTGAAACGTTCGCTTGAAAGTAGAGGCGGGATTTATTTTTGTTCCCGCATTAAGTGTTTCCATTCGAGTTTCATGGCAGAAAATCAGCACAACTTTTACATTACTTTACAAACGTCCAGCTCGCACCCAAAGCAAAGGAAATAAATAAATAAAAAAGTTTGAAATATATAATTGCTGGGACGGGTGGGCGGGTGGGCAGGTGGCAGGAGGAAATGAAAAGCCCCCGCCAGGGCTGGAATGGAGTGTAGAGCGAGAGGGCGCTGTGCGTGCTCGTGGGCCTGAGAGGGCGCGTGGGTGCAAACGGCCAACACGGCAGGGGGCGGAGGGCGGCGCGGGGTGGAAGGGGGGAGCAGAATGGGTCCAGAGTTAGGAACAGAGCAGGACGGCCATGCGGTCTAGAGGAGTGGTGTCGGTCGATGTGGGGGGGTGGGGTTTGGCGGAACCGGGCATGGACCGGTGGAGCGGCCGGCCGATGGGCGGGCGGGCGGGCGAGAGGAAACGTCACGCCGTCCTCAACTGGTCTCCGTGTGCTCCGACTTGACTTCGTCGTCAGTGGAGATGAGCTGCTCGCCGTGCCACTTCTTCATGTGCTTCTCCAGAGTGCTGTACACGCTGAAGGGCATCTGGCAGATGTCGCACTTGTAGATCTCCTTGCCCATCTGGCCGTGCGTCTTCATGTGGCGCGTCAGCTTGCTGCTCTGCGCGCACGCGTAGCTGCACAGCTCGCACTTGTAGGGCCGCTCGCCCGTGTGCGAGCGGCGGTGCACCGTCAGGTTGCTGCCGTTCTTGAACACCTTGCCGCAGTACTCGCACGTGTCGCTGCGCCGGCCGTCCTTGGAGCTGGGACGCCCCGACAGGTTGGGCGTGCTGTTGCCGCTGCCAGTGCCGCTCTGGCCGGAGTTCATGCCGTCCAGCAGCTCGCCGGGCGGCGTGGAGAAGCGCAGGCTGCCGTTCTCCGACGAGTGTTCCGAGGAGGAGGCGAACGGGGACCGGCGAGAGTCCCCGAACCCAAAAAAAGGATCCTTGCTGAGTTGGCGCGACGCGGCGTAGCCCGCCAGCCACTGCGAGTACACGTTCTCCGTGGGCAGCATGGGCGCGGGCGGCAGCTCGAACTCCTTCTCGAGCTTGATGCGCTTGGGGTAAGTGCTGAGCGGGTTGGGGCTGGAGATGGGCGGGGGGTTCCGGGGCACGGCGGTGCCCGGGAGCTGCCCGGGCGAGAACCCTCGGCCGTTGACGGGACTCTCGGAGACGTGGTTGGACTCGGCGTGGGAGGAGGGGTCCCTGTCGACGGGGCCGTCCCGCGGCGCCCTCATCGCGTCCGGCGGGTGCTCGGGCGGGGGCGGGCACTGACGCCGCTTGCCGGCCAGGATCTGCTTGAGCGCCTCGCTGTAGTGCTGCATCGGGTTCAGGCCGACGCCGTCCATCACGTCGTTGAGCGCCAGCGGTTTGCGCTCGGCCGGCTTGCCGTTGCGCTCGTGGTCGCGGCCGCCGCTCTCCGCGTTCAGGTCGAAGGCCGAGTCCGGTCGGCCCCGGCCGCGCTCCTCTTCGGCCAGCTCCTCCTCGGCATCTTCCTCCTCCTCCTCTTCCTCCTCCTCTTCGTTGTTGTCGCCGTCGCCCTCGCAGCGGTACTTACGCTCCCTCGAGCCGCGGTGGCCCTCGCTGGCGCCCGGCTCGGGGGAGCTGGCCTCCGAGCGGCCGTCCTCCGAGTTGCCGGCGGCGCCGCCGTGCGACGGCGACGAGCCCCCGGCCGGCGAGCAGGTGTGCGTCTTCATGTGCCGCTTGAGCTTGCTGGCCTGCGTGCAGGCGTGGTCGCACACCGGGCACTTGTAGGGCTTCTCGCCCGTGTGGCTGCGCCGGTGCACGATCAGGTTGCTCTGGAACTTGAACGTCTTCCCGCAGAACTCGCACGACTTGGGCTTGAGCGACGACTGCGAGGACGCGGCCGGCGAGACGGAGGCCGGCGGAGGGGGAGGGGGTGGGATGGGAGGAGGCGGGGGGAGTGGCGGGGGAGGGGGAGTGCCGAGAAAAGGCGACTTGTTCCCGGCGCCGCTACCGCCAGCCGGAAAGGGCTGCAGAAGCCTTGGCAGGGCGCCGTGTCGGCCCGGGGAAAGCGGCGGCGTCGAGTTCCCAGCAAGCTCGCGCAGCCGCCGCGAAAAATCCATCGGCAGCGGTGGTTCCATCCCGATGGGATTCAGCCTGAGCGCCCGCTCGAAGCCGCCCGGAGGGTGCGGGTGGGCGTGCGCGTGCTGGTGGGCGTGCTGGTGCGCGTGCTGGTGCGCGTGCGCGTGCTGGTGGTGGTGGTGGTGGGCGGCCGCCGCCGCCAGCGCCATGCTCTCGGCGCTCAGGCAGTCGAGCCGGTGCGGGTCCAGGTGCGGCCTGGGGGGCGGCGGGCTGAAGAGCGGCGGCGTCGGAGGCAGCCGCCCGCCGGGGCCCCCCGGCGCGCCTTCCCGGAGGCCCGGGTGGTGGTCGCGCAGCACGGGGGGCCCCGAGAGGCGCAGGAAGCTGAAGGGGTTGGCGTCGGGCAGGTGCAGGCCCGGCAAGGGGGGCGGCGGAGGCAGGGGCGGGGGCTGGGCGGGCGAGTGGGGGCCGAGCGAGGGCGGCAGGCCCGCGCGCGGCGCCAGCGGGCTGATCGGGTGGCCATTGTCCAGGTAGATGCGGAAGCCGTGCGTGTTCTGCGCGTGCCGCAGGAGGAACCAGGCCGAGGAGAAGGGCTGCTTGCACGTCGTGCACACGTAGCTGCACGGCTCGTCCTTCCCTGCGAGCGACAGCACGCACGCACGCGGGGGCCGGAGGGCCACGGTCACCTCGGCGTCGACAGAGAGGCGGGCGCGGTAGAAACGGCCGAGTGAGATTTCATCGACGTGAAATTAAAATGCTGCGCAAATTTACCCGGCTTCACCCACGCTCCCCCCCTCCCCTGTCGCCCACGTAATAATATGAATAATTATATACTCATAGATGCATCAGTTTTGGTTCATTTTGTACAAGAGTAACGCTTTGTGAGGGAAAAATACTTAACCGCAGCAACATTCGTCAGATAATGAAGTGCGCCGGTGTCTGTGTGCACGGCGTGTCCGTATTCAAAATAGGTTACGGAAAAAAGGTTAATTTCTCCCCATGCAGCTTATCTGCAATTGTGAATGTGGTCATTCTATGGTAATTAACACTTTACCTTGGCAAGTTAATGCCTTCCTCTGTCTATAGGACCTCGTATTATCACCGAAAATGTAAGTGGGCGGCGGTCTATTATTTAATTTGAAAAGGCCCCTGCTAAAATGACTTAATGATGATTTTCGTTATTGTTAAAGCCAGTCAGTATTGTTGCCACGTGTGCCGTCCCTTTAACCCACGGGGAAATATTGTCGCGAAAATGCAATTCTCTATGCGGAGGAGCGCTCACGACGCTGGCCCCGGCACGGCACCTCGATCGCGTACCGTTACCGCTCTTCAATTTGTGTTGCCTTCTTAAAAATGTCACGTGGTACACCGTGACAAACGGGGCACGTTTGGTTGCGTGATTTACGTTCGACGGGGGCTCGGGCGTGGCGATGAGAGGAGGATTCCCGCGGCCGGGGCCGCTGACAAACCCTCGCAGAAACCAAAACCGCCATCGGCCCTCATTGATCGTGCTGAGATAACGCGATTCCACAACGGAATCGAGTGAGCGCAGCGGTTACTCACTGAGAAGTACAGAAAATCAGTTTCTATTTGCGTCGTATTTCTGCCAAGAGACACGTGCGGCAAGCGGCCAAAATTAATTTCAGAGAACCCACTCCACAATCCCTTCGCAGCAATTAATGCAATACTCATGCTATTGGGCTAATTAACTGTATATGTGGTATTTGTATCCTCAATTGCTGATAATACATTTCATATCTTGGCAAAGTGATTGAAGATATTTTCAAAAGTGTTTTAAAATGCAAAGCAAAAATCTAATTGCCTGCTGGTGGAATGCATAATGCAAAGCAGAACATTGTCCATTACCGCTGTGCCTTATTGGCCCCTTCAAACTAAACTATAACCAACAGATATCATCCGAGGCATGCCGACCGTTATTGGCACGGGTTTTCAGTTGGCGGCTCGCAAAGCGTTTAAAACGGCGTTGGATACACTCTCATCAAAGCCCCCCTCCCCCCCCCCCCATTTAGCGTGACCAATAAAACAAACGCAACGCTTGACCACGTCGACTGCGAGGACTTAAAGACGCAAAATGATAATCCGCCGAGGACAGGGCCGCTGGGGAAACGCGACGGAGAAGCCGCGAGCGGTCACGAGCGAAGGTGGAGGCAACCCTTGGCGCGGGTGACAAGAGGCACAGCCAACCACAAACCACTCGACGTGGTGGTGGTGGCGGTGGTGGTGGCGGTGGCGGTGGTGTCGGTGGTGGCGGAGAAGAAACGACTCCCGCAAAGCTGTTTCCCCCCCCCCCCCCATCGTTGTTATTTTGACCACAGCCTTCCCCGAGCACGATGTCGCATTTCAAATTACGACACGGCGGCTTTGACTTGTTTTCTCTGCAGATGTCCTTCTAATCGGCGGTTGGCGGCACGTGAGGAGCCTCCTCCAGCTCCGTGGGACACGGCCGCCGTTTCGCCGGCCGCGTGTCGACCGCGTGTCAGTTGCGTGTCGGTTGTGTGTCAGTTGCGTGTCGGTTGCGTGTCGGCCGCGTGTCGGCTGCCCGGGTGGTACGAAGGCCGCCGTGGCCTCGGCTCGTTAGGAGGTCCGATTAGCAACCCCGGCGAGAACGAAGCGGCGTACGGAAGGGCGGCCGGCTGGCCGGCCCCATCGCGGCGCCACCACTCCTACCCACGGGCACAGGGCCGTTACCAATTGCAGTGGCTGTAATTTAATTCACGCTCTGCTGCTTGATTAATTTTGATACGTTATTGTTCGTTTGTTAAAACATTATTAACCTTGACCATTAAGGAATAAAATACGATGAATTATTATATCTGAAACGTTTATCGTTATCATTGTGAGTTTCCATGCTCATTCATAACTACGATAGATTTTGACTCAAGCTTTGGCTCTGCCTATGTATTGGATTTTGGTAATCTCATGCACTGTTATAAATATGCAAAAAGTGGAATTAGTCACAGAATCTGCATTCATGGACAATAAGGGAAAAAAAGCCCCCCCATTATCCATCACTATTCAAGACACCACATTCAAGCTTTGTGCGCACGCATAGAGACCCACACAAAAGACATCTTCCACAAAGGTAGAGAGAGCATCTATTCATTGTGGCGAGCGTGATTTCAGTCTTTCTATTCTGGTCACCTGTCTCTAATGCCACATCTGGTCAGTGTGAAAGATTGACCTTCACCCCTTTGGAGTCTAATGGAAAGACTATGCGAGATGAACACAAATGGGACGCACCTGCACGGGCGCGAGACGTGGGCTCACAAAGCCACGGTTTTAGCATTTCAAGTGAAAGGATCGAGAGAGGAGGGGTGGGTGGGGGGGGTTGGGGGGGAGAGAAATTAAGTTGAGATGGTGGCCTTGCCGACGCGCTGCCCTCTCCGCCACGAGTCGCCGAGACTCTTTGCCTAATTCTCCGCCGGTCGCACTGTGGCCCCGCAGCGGCGGCGCACCGTAACGTTTGAAAGGGGCCCGGACCTCTGACTTCGGCTTTCAATTCCGAGCAGGGCGCAGAAATCCACAAAACGGCCCCGATTTATGTTGTTATTTGCGCAGCGTCAGTTTTACGGTAAGCGTAATTAGTTTCCTCATCTGGAAAGAAAATGTCCCAAAGAGTATTTCTAATTAAAAGTTCACAGCTGATTTCTTTTTCTGTTCTGCGTGCGTCTTAAGAAGATATCTCATAATGTTGCTTTTATTAATTTGTTTTTGTTGGTCGTGACTGAAACGAATTTCAAAAGCGATAATTAAGAAGCGCAGAACGAATGTCGCGGTTGTGGGGGGCCCCTCCGCTCGACCGGCGCTGGCGGCACTGGCAGGAGGGCAGCGGGGACAGGGCCCCACAGACGCCAGAGCCTCGAAATTTCACTCGGCCATGGGGGCACGGACGCGGATGCGATTTGACAGCCTGCCGTGGCAAAGAGAGAGAGACTGCACCCCATGAATGATGCATGCAATTACTTTCTCCACTTAAATATACGTTGCTCGGAAGAGAACAGCCTGCAGACAAAAAGCTTTTATAGGTAACGGCTGGAGACAGCTCAAAGGGCTGGGTCGTGGTAGGCTAACTGGCTTGGGCTGTCTTGACGGAAACTGCCTTGCCATTTCTCGACTCCTTAAATGACGGCGGGAACCCCACCACGTCCTCGCGTGTGCCGCTTTGCAGCGATGATAGGTCGTTTTTTCCGTCTCATCTTTGCGTTCGCGATATACACACAGACAGGTGTACTTCCTAGGCAGGTGGGAAGCGGTTGAACATTACGTGGACAATATCGGTGGCACCTCGTATCCGAACCTGTGCCGAGCGCCCCCCTCGGTAAATTCAGCCCCAAATTAGTAAAGTGCTTGGCGTGACGTCACTCACTAGCGCAGTGACACTCACTAGCACAGTGGCACTAGCACAGTGACACTAGCACAGTGACACTCACTAACACAGTGACACTAGCACAGTGACACTAACACAGTGACACTAGCACAGTGACACTCACTAGCGCAGTGACACTCACTAGCACAGTGACACTGGCACAGTGACACTCACTAACACAGTGACACTAGCACAGTGACACTAGCACAGTGACACTCACTAGCACAGTGACACTCACTAGCACAGTGACACTAGCACAGTGACACTCACTAGCACAGTGACACTAGCACAGTGACACTAGCACAGTGACACTAGCACAGTGACACTAGCACAGGGACACTAGCACAGTGACACTAGCACAGTGACACTAGCACAGTGACACTAGCACAGTGACACTCACTAGCAGTGACACTAGCACAGTGACACTCACTAACACAGTGACACTAGCACAGTGACACTAGCACAGTGACACTCACTAGCGCAGTGACACTCACTAGCACAGTGACACTGGCACAGTGACACTCACTAACACAGTGACACTAGCACAGTGACACTAGCACAGTGACACTCACTAGCACAGTGACATTCACTAGCACAGTGACACTCACTAGCGCAGTGACACTCACTAGCACAGTGACACTAGCACAGTGACACTCACTAGCACAGTGACACTCACTAGCACAGTGACACTAGCACAGTGACACTCACTAGCACAGTGACACTCACTAGCACAGTGACACTAACTAACACAGTGACACTAGCACAGTGACACTAGCACAGTGACACTCACTAGCACAGTGACACTGGCACAGTGACACTCACTAACACAGTGACACTCACTAGCACAGTGACACTCACTAGCACAGTGACACTGGCACAGTGACACTCACTAACACAGTGACACTCACTAGCACAGTGACACTCACTAGCACAGTGACACTGGCACAGTGACACTCACTAGCACAGTGACACTAGCACAGTAACACTAGCACAGTGACACTCACTAGCAGTGACACTAGCACAGTGACACTCACTAATACAGTGACACTAGCACAGTGACACTAGCACAGTGACACTCACTAGCACAGTGACACTCACTAGCACAGTGACACTCACTAACACAGTGACACTAGCACAGTGACACTCACTAGCACAGTGACAGTAGCACAGTGACACTAGCACAGTGACACTAGCACAGTGACACTCACTAGCACAGTGACAGTAGCACAGTGACACTAGCACAGTGACAC